GTATAGTTTTTTGTATATGTATATGTGCTTACTGTAAGATCACGCTTTTCCACTAAGCATTCTGCGAAACGGTGTCGCCTCCTGCGAGATATGTCCTTTCAGTTAACACACTGTTTTAAGTAAACCGCTCATCGAAGAAGTTACATTAGATGTGTAGGAAATGTGTTCTTCGAGATATCTGATGGCTGAGGAGATGTCCTGCACGAGATCATCTGCGCGTATATCCGTAACAAGTTGTCAAGTGAGTCATGGCTATAGATACTACGCTTAATTCACTGCACCTTTAGGCCTATTGATACATCGAGGCAGAATCAGCGCTTACAAAAAATCGGCCGCTAGTAACGCCCAGTTTGTGACGTTCAGAATTTTCTACCTGCTACTAATTTACCATCTGCTCATAGCTGGTTTATAGACACAACAAGTATGCAGACGATTTGTTCTTACCAATAGCATCTGTTAGGTTTAAATTACCCACTTGGAGGTGTTTCTCTTTCAATTGATTTCTCCACTTTGCTTCTATTTTTAGCGTTGTCGCCCGCAACTCCTATTGCGTAGCACTTGCAGGATAGCTTGCTACGAATGCCTTCAGCTTATTCCTTTATTGTCTACGATTGATAGATTCCCGTGCGTCATTCAGTAAACAGCTGCGCCAGCAGCCCCCCTTGTCTCCCCAGCCGCCACTTCGATGCTCGTGGTTACCTATGTCAGTTCGATATTGCATATAGTACGTTACCACATCGCCGGCAGCGTTCGTGGCAATCGCCTGCCGATTAGCCCGCCCGCCCGCCCGCTCGCTCGCCCGCCCGTGTGCTCATCATCGTCTCACGATCTCACAGTACTACTATTGGCGATTATCATCTCGACATACCACTACCAGTTTCTGCCATACCACTAGCAGCATGTGAATGGCGCAGCGCTGGTCCACTCACACGTGCGTGCCACGCGCCCAACTCCGCTCCACGAGCGCCGATTGGTTGCTGGTAGGGGGCGGTCCAACCGCGCCGCCGGGAGAGAGGAGTCGCCGAGCTTCTCGCGAGCGCCGGACGACGACGACGACAAAGAAGCCGCCTGAGGCACAGCCGCGGCCAGCAGCCGCTCGGTAGACAAGCAGTGTCCGGGTAACAGCTAACTGGATAGTTGGCCGCGTTGTTCTTTCGTTGTTGATCGAGCGAACCGTGGCTTCCGCCTCGGCTGGCAACTTGTCTAGCAGTGCTCGTTGCTTGCGACTACCCTGCCTAGATGCCGCTGTCGGCGTTCGGGCCGGCAGCTGCAGAGACTATTGCCGCGGCTGGCGGCTGTTTACCGATCTCCCGCGCTAACCGTCATCGTCAAAGAGAAAGAAAGAAGGCAGACCGGGAGAGACAAGAGAGGCGCAAATGAAGTAAGCGGCGCGTGCTGGCTCCTTCGTCCGACGACGGCTGGTTCAGATGTCGGAGTGAGCCTGTGCGCTCGCGCAGATACATGCGATAGAGCCAGCGCAGCCACGCAGAGAACGACTCGACATAACTGTACAACGGAGTAGACCTGCACACACACACGCACACACACGCACGCTCACATCGCGCGAGAACACAAAGACGCGCTCGATTCGAGAGAGGACGGCCTGAACAGCCGACCACAAGAGGAACTCAGGAACGGCCGACTAGTAGCAGTAGCTAACGGAGCTGCGGCGGCGGCGGCGGCGGCGGCGGCGATCGAGTGGCAGAAACACCAGGCGCGAGGTAAAGTGTATGTCATGGTGGCTAGGGTCTCAGTGAAACGAGTCAGTGCGCCGAATGCTGCCGATCTGATAGTGTCTGCTTGATCCGAGGTAAAGACGAGTTGGCAGCGCCCGAGGACCAGTGATGTTTAGAGTGGGGTGCCGATTGTCTTCGACGCAGAATTACGGACTCGGTGAAAGGAAACTGGAAGAGATTTACGTAATAAGTGTATAGTGATTAAAAACGAGGTTGTATCGGATGAAAATTGTTGGCCCAGTTTGACAACAACTGAGGATACAGAGTGCATTAAAACTGCTAATGATTAATTCATGAAAACCAGTGAGGTTCACTGAAAAAGAAAAGCCGAAGAATAAACATGACTAGTCTCAGTGGAGTAAAAAGGCCGTGGTTGGACGAGCCTGTCGTGGCGACGACGCCAAGTGAGCCAGCATCTGAGGGACCCGAAGATCTGTCTACGAACTCTGAGCGAAGTTCACTATCAGTTTCACCATCTCCATCCGAAGCAGCTACTGTACCAGGTGAGCGAAGCATATGTGGCTCAAGAAAGATGCAGAGATTATGTACTTTGGATATGCAATCGGTTCACGTATCTATCATGGGCCCGTTCATTTCCGCTCTAGGCTTGTTTCAGGTTCGCACGGACATTTTAAATGTTCTTTTGCGTCTATGAGCCATTGAACATTCTAACCTTGAGACCTGTCTAGATCTCACGTGAACGCGTGATCTTCTATACGTGTTTAGTTCTTAAAGTCCCTGGGCATGTAAAGTTCGACTAAATAGTGGCTAATCCGTCTCGACATTTCTCTACGAAACGTAACAAAAGCGAAAATTATCGGTCTAAAAGCACTTTGAGTAGTCACTGCATGCAGCATGAACCGACGATGATGGTAGCTAACAACAAGCTTGACATAATAATAAGGGTGTAAAACACGACATCTTAATGGGAACAATTGCCTATTTGTCAAGCGCGCTAAGCTACATAAACTTGATAGAAGAAATATATACGCGTCAGCACCCTGTTTGATTCAGCGTTATGTAAATTTGCCCATCACTTGTGTTTGCGCTTATGGTTATGAATCATTTAGGGCTGTCGAAAATGTTACATTCCCCAGTAAACACAATATCCTATTCGACGCAGACATTTCATCAGTAAAAAATTATTACAAGTTCAGACAATGAAGCATCTAAGGAAATACATAGAATTCCATTGCCGATTATGTTCGCTAATTTTCCTGCACGAGAAGCATGGATTGGGGTCAATTTCTTTCATACCTTGAAATTGTGATACCATCTAAGCACCCTTATACGCGTATCCTGGGCTATGCTTTTCCAGAAATCAACTCGACGCCATTCGATCTGTCGACTAAACGCAGCCGACTCTCGTCTAGTTCGAGCGAAGGGGGCTCCCCGACATTTCGTCTACCCCGAACACCGATATCCCCCACGACACCGATCATTCCCCCGATGATCGCTCCTTTATTAGACTCGCCCTGTTGGAGTCCCCTCCTCTACCCGATACCAATGCATTTACCGACTCTCTATTACTCGTCGCTCTGTCTTTCCGCTCAAACGTTCCGGCCTCAGGTATTAACACACGATAAACCCCAAGACGCCGTCGTTCCATCGTGGGAATCGCGTCTAACCTCACGTTCAGACGAGACAGGAAAGGAGTCCAAAGACTCAAATCAACAGGACGGCATCGAGGGAACGATAAAGTCGACTTCGACGACCACTGGGAGCAATAACAACAACAATAATAATACGACAACGACTTCGAACGGTACCAACCGCTTTATCTGCGAAGACTGCCACAAAAGTTACTCGACATTTGCGGGTCTAAGCAAGCATAGAGAATTCCATTGTATAAATTCGGCGGCTGGCCGAAAGGAGTTCTCGTGCAAATTCTGTCCCAAATCGTACGTGTCTCTGGGAGCGTTAAAGATGCACGTCCGAACTCATACGTTGCCGTGCAAATGCGATCTTTGCGGTAAAGCATTCTCGCGGCCCTGGCTCTTGCAAGGTCACATTCGGACACATACGGGTGAGAAGCCCTTCGAGTGTGAGCATTGTCATCGAGCGTTTGCTGATCGCTCGAATCTGCGTGCACATCTGCAGACACACCAAGAAGTGAAGAAGTACTCGTGCTCGAAATGCGCGAAAACCTTCTCGAGAGCGTCGCTCCTGCACAAGCATCAGGACTCAGGGGCTTGTGCAGGAGTCAGCAATGCTCGGACAAGTGCGTCCTCGGCACTGGCTTCGAGTCAGCGAAGTTCGTCGAGTTCGCCCGTTAACGACACGAGTTAGTAGTCGCAATAATCAATCAGAGATAATAAGGAATCGTGCTTTCGGGAACAAGCGCTTGAGTGTTCTTCATAGTTGTTTCAACGGTAGAATGATATGTGTGCTGGTTGAGCGATGTGGTTCCGCGTTCAAGCGGACAAACAACAACGATACAAACTGTGCATCGGATGCGCAGAACGAGTTATAGTTGATCTGTACACTATAGATTAATCAGACCATCCGATAAGTTCATGTTCGAGACATCGAAATTAAACATATAGTCCATTTGTATAGTAATAAGCCGCGTAACAAATAGTTCTAATACCCAGTAACGAAGATTACAAAAATCTGACTCTTCGATCTAGTGAACGCCTCCTGACGATTTGCTACCTACAATGACGCCGATCTTCATGGATGCCTACGACAGAATAAAATATAAAAAAGAGTCAAATGATGAGTATTTATTAAGTTATTGACATCCAGTAAACATAAAACAGCAAAAGGAGGAAAAAATAAACGCGACATCAAGAAGGACCCGGTAACGGGATTAAGCCTATATATATATATATATATATATATATATATATGTATCACGTTGCGCCTTAATGTGTTTAATGAATGACCAAATACGATGTATACAAACAAACCGTTGTTTCTAGTCATAGCAAACAAAAACAAACACGTATTGATTAACAGTGATAATAATAATAATAATTATTATTATTATTATATATACAACTGTACAGTTTCTCCTGTGTGTAAATACACTATTTTTCGTATGAAAGGAACCTGCCACGTGTCTTTTTTTCACTTAACTGCATATATGTCGCTTTAGTATGACGTAATCATCTATTATGATTGCCTATAGATTAGCATATGTTTAATGATCGTTATTTAGTGTTTGTAGAAGACAAGCAAGTTTCTTAAGCGGCTTGATCTGATAAACAAAGTTCACAGGCAAGTTGATTAGCGACTAAAGTTAACTTAATTTTTATGCATCCACTGTGTTCTTTATGCTTAGCATTTTAGCTCGGCCCATATTAGCGAACCGGTTAACTCTAAATTTGAACATTTTCACAAAACATCGCCTGTTTGTATCCAGTCGTAAGCTGCTTGTCTATCGGACTAGGAATTTTCCCATCAGCCCTTTCTACTCAGTCTAAACAAACTAGTAATAACGAGCTGGAAAGATCGTTAATAACGTGCCGCTGACACCAAAAAGCGCTAATAGCAAATTAGTTTCACTTGGTGGTATTCCGTATCCCTCAATAAATTCCAGTTTCATATAGGTATAGAAGACACCTCTCTAGGCAACATAGCAAGATTCCCAATACTCGCCACTGGCCCTAACCCAACGCTTAGCTTCGATACCTCACAGTAGATATCTCTCACTGACTGCTGCTGTTACCATCAAGCCGGTGCCTCTGCGTTTCTGAGTCTGAACATAGCCCTCGGCTGTGAATATAGCTGAAGCTGATGGCATCGAAAAGCCGGTAATGCTCACAAGCTATAGCGCAACCACTGCCGGGATCCCCCGGCCGCTAGATCCACATCAGCTTGCCGCTGTTTCTGCCAGTGCGTTTACTAGGCCCTGCTCGAGACTTATCCTCCTACAGACGGTGCTACTGCTCTGACAGGACTGCCATGCTGTATTCGCTATTTGCTTCTACGTTCTTCCGTAGTATAGCATCGGTGATGTCCTAGCTGGATGCGCCTAGTGAGTACTGACGCTCGACGCGGCTTCTTTGGCCGGCGAAGTTGCTGTCGTTGCTTGCCAAGGGGGTACATGGGGACACGAGGGAGTACGCACGTGTCGTTTCTGAGTCAGCCTCCTGGCTCTTTTCTCTCTTGGCAGCCTTCAGTTGTGTGCCAACAGCGCCCTGACTGAACGGCGCCCCGACCGGCGTTAGCACTCCGCTGCTTCTGCACTTTTCACTAGAACGCAGTGTTCTTCGCAATGCTCCGTCGTGTATAGTATCCTCGTAGCACAGCCTATACCAAAGCACATGCTTTGGCGTGGGTACGACCGTGTGCATCAACCTGCTTAGCTGGTTTAGTCGTGTCTCGCTTTGTCAGAAGAGTACCAGCAGCGCGAGTGCTGCTAGTATGCAGATCCTCGTCTTGTGGCCGAACAGCCCTCGTGTGCAGAGGCTTTGAAGGCCATTGAACAAGACCTTAGCCTCAACTATAGTCATTGCAGTAGGACCACCAGCTCAGCTGAATGAAGCGTGCGGTGTACGATGCAGCTAGTCGACGTCTCTCAGCTAGCCTAGCCAACAGAGAGCATGCAGGCTACCTTAGTCCTATTTGCGCATGTACGCCTCTGGCTGTCATATAGGACACGCGGCCTCGTGTCATGAGGTTTAGGACATCTACATCAGTGGCAGAGCTGTTCTCTTGTGCTTGTCTCTCTGGCTGAGTTCGAGTTTTTCGCCTGCAGGCCACATTCTGCACCAGCTCACGCTGTTTGAACTGCTTGCCTTGCTTGTCATGGCAACCGCTGTATCCCAGCCACACATCGTTGTCCAGTGTCCTGAGGTACGTGCCAGCTCGACCGGCCTTTCCGCCATCACTTACAAAGTCCCTGTACCTCCCTTATCTTTTTCCCCTTCTAACTCCTGCCTATTCACGAGCTCATCCGCTCATTGACAATGGGCGACACATGCCGAGATTTAAGAGACGTACATGCAGAGACAAAAGCACTTCTTCCACCTCTGCCTTGGCTTTCCTTAGCTCCAAACACCGATGCGCGTTGGAGGCGGTACCTGCTCAGGGGTCGTGAAGCAGCAATTCTCAGTGTTCGAGTTTCTGGCTGACCGACGCTCTGCCATTGAAATGAGAACGTAAGGTGCGTGCGACAAGAAAGCGAATATTGTTACCGAGGGCTCCTGCTCCTGCCTGGCAGAGCTGGCGACGATACTCTCCTCGCCTGATGTGTTGATCGCATTCGATTTCTGCTGAGTTATGAATTGGAAGTTTGAATTAGTATTTGTGCGCAATGAACGACGGGGTGGGTCACGGCAATGCCCACTCAAAAAAGCTCTGATCGAGCAAAATCGACTTACGAAGATGGCCAGTAATTAAACGGTGGGATCATCGTTGTCCCTGTTCGAGCTTGGCAAGATTATAGAATCGCTTAGAAAATATGGATGCATATCAGCAGCATCGCTAGAAAACGAGGCGAACGTTAGAAATCCTCTGCTTCATTCAATAGCACCGGGTCTGAACAAAGCAAGCCGAACTACAACAAGTATCTGATGGGTAGCAAAGACGTATCATTTTCTAATCTATAATTGCATTTCTACAATAGAACAATGTAGGACACACTTTAGGACTGAACGAATAGCTTTTTACTATTATTGCGTTGTCGAAAAGGTATCGATAGTTTTAAAGCGAAGATTGGAGAAAAGCGTTTCTGTGCTTTAAAATAATATCACTAATTACCTATGAGCCGTTTTGATCGATGACCTTTTATCATTCCCCTGGTAACCCCATAACCCCATCACTGTAGAACTCCTATAGTTCCTGGGCGAAAAAATTGCTAGGGATAGGTGATTTCTGAATTTTCACAAAATGAAATTAACAGAATTAAGGGAACTTCGCAGAGACCGGAGCGGATGGTGGTCCAAAGGTGCAAGATTCGGCCTACACGGTAGCTGCATCAACATTTCCTATCTAATTTTTGCCCGCTAAGCATTGTCATTGTCTCTTTATTTACTAATTCTGGTGATTTTTTTCAATGGTTTTTTATTAAACGATCTTGATAATAGTTGACAGTGACGTCGTGAATGAACAAGCGGCAGGAACTCGTTCGCTTTCAGCGCCACCTTCGTCGGGTAATTTTTTGTCGTATGTTATTTCAGCATCCGTCATTAACCGCTTTAGACATTTTATCGCGGTTCCATAGAATTTCGCAGGTGGAAATGATTTTGCCTTAGTCTGTACAACACCCAAACATTGAGCTTTTTTTTGTAGTCGGAAAGCTTCTTTTCACAAAGCTTGAAACTGTTTAATGGTAGAAGCTTATTGATATGATGGCTATTTACATGTTGGTCCTGTTGAAGTTTCGTTTTGAACTTCATCATTATCATCATATCACTGGTCGAAATCTTCATGAAGCTATTTCGTCTGATAAAATATTTTGACTGTAGATGGCACACATTTTCTCAATGCGCCTAGGCAGCACTGCTGTCCTTAAGCCAGCAAAAGAAAATATGGCAAGTCTCTGCAGAAAGGTTTGTTTCACTCCCTGAAGACGCTCTGTCTGAATAGATGTATTGCGCCTATTGTAGTGCGTCTGCGACTAGCAAATCGAGTCAAGGCAACTTACATTATTTAAGGTAACTTTGAGGCCAGCTAACTAGAAATATAGTCAATACTTTCGGCTTACTTGCTTTTGTCACGGCTGTCCTATCCGAGCGCCTATATGTAACGGGCGCCTTCTTAGCTATACAAATTTAACCATTTGCTGTGGTCTTGCCGCCTACTCCGTTCTATTTACCGACGATTGCCCGTCGCAAGTTTCACAACAAATCGAGATATCCAGCCCGCTAACCAACATTTCCTCTACCGGAACAAGAAGGGTACCCGTATCACCCGTCTTTTCCTGTTCCGAGTGCGCTGTAATAGCCCATATAGTCGTGGGTGCTAGGCAATGTACGTATTGGAAATACAATCCTTGCACGATGCAAAATTAAATGCCTTCATCACACGCACTACCTAGGTGACTAACTCTCCCACAGTCATTAAATGTAGCGCTGTTTCCTACATTTTAACCTTGTTAACAACAAGCATGTTGGTTTAGCAAACCCGACGAGTCAATCAACCCACCATGTCTAAATGTACCTAGTTCCTACCTTTGTCTCTGTTAGCCCGCATAAATGCTTCTGCCATCCACACTCTCCTTCGTTGTACTCCCTCCCGCGTTCATTATCTGGCAAACCATCGTTCAATTGCCATAAATATTTTTCGTTCCCATAGGAAACTTACGAAGAAAAAGAGGCGCTGGTGTAATGACCTAATGGGGTTCGGTAAAAGCTGTCGCTGCTACCGTCAGGCCCTGGTCGACTCACCTACCCACCCAAGTGCGTTGACTGACAATTGCCGGCTGGCCGGCGACAATATCCTAGTCACCGGCATTTACCCCGGCTGGGGATGAAAGGTGGGGGAAAGGGGGGTAACCCGACACCTGTAATTGTGGAAATGATCGGGGCTCAATTTTTCGCTAACCCGGCTTCTCTCTCTGTAGCACCGCCTCCAACAACTCTAGGCAGACGAAACTCCCACCATTTGGTCGCACGGATGGACTCCTGCGCGCATGTTGGCTCCCACCAGAGCTCTCTAGTCCCACCAAACAACTACATGTATGAGGGGGAGAACGAAAAGAGGCGAAGACAGAGCGAGAAGAGTATAATAAAACTGCGAAGAAGTCCTGGGGTTAGCCAGCCGCTACTGATCCAGCGCCATCAGAGGACCACCACTTATCTCCATGAGAAGACTCTTTGTCTACACGGAGCGGCTTGGCATTTACTTCTTCCGTTCTCGTAGTTTCAGTGGAGCCAGCACGAAGCTAGCTGAGTTTGCATGGTAGTCACATGATTCTCCATGCCGTTGTAGCCCATTTTGCCGCGCTTTATACATATATCGAAAGGGAAAGACCTCTTTTGAAATTCCTTCGTCGATTCCCGAACCCTCGAAATGCTCTCGGACTCCAAAGCCGCTTGCGAAA